TGTAAGGACAAATATAGACTCAAAGTAAAAGGGTGGACAACGATACTCCAAGCAAACGGCAGCCAGGGAAAAGTGGGAGTAACTATACTTATATCTAATGAAACAGATTTCAAGATAAAAAAGGTAACGAGAGACAAAGAAGGACGTGTCATAATGATAAAGGGGAATATACCTCAAGAAGACATAATACTTATTATCTATGCTCCCAATTAGGGAGCCCCAAAATATATAAAGCAATTATTAACAGAACTAAAGAGAGAAACTGACAAAAACACAATTATAGCAGGGGACCTAAATACCCCACCGTCAACTGTGGATAGATTATCCAAACAGAAAATTAATAAGAGAATATCAACCTAAAATGACACATTAGACTAATTGGATATAATTGCCATTGACATTTACAGAGCCTTTCATTCCAAAACACCAGATTATACGTTCTTCTCTAGTGCATGTGGAACATTCTCAAGGATAGGCAATATGCTGGGACACAAAACTAGCCTCAACAAATACAAGAAGAGTGAAATCATACCAAGCATATTCTCCAATCGCAATGTTCTGAAACTAGAGATTGGCTGCAAAAATAAAGAAGAAAAACCACAAGTACCTGGAGATTAACCTGGAGATGCTACTAAAGAACCATTGGGTCAAAGAAAAAATAAAAAGAGAGATCAAGAGGTACATAGAAACAAATGAGAACAAAAATACAACATATCAAAATTTCTGGGATACAGCAAAAGTGGTAATAAGAGGAAAGTTCATATCATTACAGGCCTATCTCAAAAAACAAGATCCCAAATAAACAATCTAACATTACATCTTTAAAAACTAGAAGAACAAATGAAGCCCAGAGTCGGTAGAGAAATAATAAAAAGAGCAGAATTAAATGAAACAGAACAAAAAGACAACAGAAAAAATTAATGTAACAAAGAACTGGTTCTTTGAAAAGATCAATAAAATTGACACCCCTTGACTAGATACACCAAGGAAAAAAGAGAAAAGACACAAATCTTCAAAATCAGAAATGAAAGAGAAGTTAGGACAGATATCACCGAAATATAAAAAAATCAAAGAAGTCTATGAAAGATCCTATACCACCAAAGTCAATATCACTGATGAAATGGACAAGTTCTTAGAAATATACAACCTTCATCAAATGAATCACAAAGAACTGGAAAATATAAATAGACCGATCAACAGTAAGGAAATTGAAATAATCACCAAATCCTTCCAAAAAGTAAAATTCCAGGACCAGATGGCTTCACTAATGATTTCTACCAAACAAAGACAATTTAATACAAACTTCCAAAAAATTGAAGAAGCAATACTTACTAACTCATTTTATGAGGCTGACATTATCCTGATACCAAAACCTGATAAGAACAACACATAAAAAGAAAACTATAGACCAACATCTCTGATGAATACAGAAGCAAAAATCCTGAACGAAACACAAGTAAGTTGAATAAAACAATACATTAAAAAGATTATACATCACAATCAAGTGGGGTTCATTCCAGGGGCACAGGAATGATTCGACATATGCAAATTGATAAATGTGATACATCACATAAACAAAATAAAGGCTGAAAATCACATGATCATATCAATAGATGCAGAAAAAACATTTGACAAAATACAACATCCATTTATGATTAAAACACTTAATAAAATGGATATAGAAGGAAAACACCTCAACGAAATAAAGGCCATATATGACAAACCTTCAGCTAATATCATCCTTAATGGCGAAAAACTAAAAACCTTCCCTTGAAGATCAAGAATAAGACAAAAATGCCTGCTCTCACCTCTTATTCAATATAGTTTGGAAGTTCTAGATAGAACAATCAGGCAAGAGAAAGAAATAAAAGGCATCCAAATAGAGAATGAAGAAGTCAAATTGTCACTTTTTGCAGATGATATGATTCTTTACATAGAAAACCCTAAAGAACTCCACTGAAAAACTATCAGAAATAAATAAAGTTGCAGGACACACAATCAATGTACAAAAATCCATTGCATTCCTATATGCTACCAATGAAATTCCAAAAAAAAGAATGAGAAAAGCAATTCCTTTTGCAATTGCAATAAAATAAAATACCTAGGAAAAAACTTAACAAAGCATGTGAAGGACCAATACACTGAAAACTACAAAACATTATTAAAAGAAATTTAACAAATTTCTTTTATTAAAGAAATGAAATGAAAAGATATTTCATGTTCATGGATTGGAAGAACCAAGATAGTTAAAATGGCCATATTACCCAAAGCAATATACAGATTTAAATGCAACCATCAAAATCCCAATGGCATTTATTAGAGCAATAGAACAAAATCATCAGATTTGTATGGAATCACAGAAGACCCTAAATAGAGAAAGCAATCCTGAGAAAAAGAACACAGCCCGATGTATCACACTGCCTGACTTCAAATCATATTACAAAGCAACAATAATCAAAACGGCATAACACTGGCAGAAAAACAGACAGATGAGTGGAACAGAACTGAGAGCCCAGAAGTAAACCCACATATGGGCAAATAATTTTCAATAAAGGAGCCAAAAACATGCAACGGAGAAAGGAAATTCTCTTCAATAAATGGTGCTGGGAAAAATGAAAAGCCACATGCAGAAGAATGAAAGTAGACTGCTATCTGTCAACATACACCAAAATTAACTCAAAATGGACAAAAGACCTAAATATAAGACCTGGAATAATAAATTGCATAGAAGAAAACATAGGTACTGAACTCGTGGACCTTGGATTTAGAGAGGATTTTATGAATTTGACCTCAAAGGCAAGGGAAGTGAAAGCTAAAATAAATGACTAGGACTACATCAAACTAAAAAGCTTCTGCACAGCAAAAGAAACCATCGACAAGACAAAAAGGCAACTGTCCAAATGAGAGAATATATTTGCAAACAACAACTCCGATAAGGGCCTACTATCCAAAATCCATAAAGAACTCATACAACTCAACAACAGAAACAAATAATCCAATAAAAAATGGGCAGAGGATCTAAACGGACACTTCTCCCAAGACATACAAATGGCCAAGAGATATATGAAAAGATGCTCGACTTCATTAGCTATTAGAGAATTGCAAATCAAAATCACAATGAGATACTACCTCACACCTGTTAGAATGGCTATTATCAACACAACAATAACAAATGTTGGCAAGGCTGGTGGGGAAAAAAGAACACTTATACCCTGCTGGTGGGAATGTAAATTGGTACAGCCACTATGGAAATCAGTATGAAGGCTCCTTAATAAGTTAGGAATAGAATTACCATATGACCCAGCAATCCCTCTTCTGGATATCTACCCCCAAAATTTGAAAACATTTATCCGTAAAGGTATATACACCCAATGTTCATTACAGCATTATTTGCGGTGGCTAAGACATGGAATCAACTGAAGTGCCCTTTGACAGATAATTGGATAACAAAGATATAGCTACAATGGAATATTACTCAGCCATAAGAAAAAATGAAATACTGCCATTTGGGACAACATGGATAGCTCTTGAGATCATCATGCTAAGTGAAATAAGTCAGATAGAAAAAGTTAAGAACCATATGATTTCACTACATGTGAGAAATAAAAGTGAAAGCAACAAATGAACAAGACAAACAAAAACTCATAGACACAGACAGTGGATTAGTGGTTAGTAGAGAGAAAGCGGGGAGGAAAGGAGGTAGATAAGGGTAAAGGAAGTCCTATATATGGTGATGGAAGGAAATTTAACTTTGGGTGGTGAACAGATAATGCTATACACATATGATGTATTATTGAATTGTACACTTGAAACCTATATAATTTTATTGTCACTTCAATAAATTTAATTAACAATAAATATATAAGTAAATAAATAAATAAATGAAAAATGGAAGAGTAAACCAAAGACAATTACAGGGTCAGAAACCAGGTCGAGGGACAACAATGGACACCAGACTTCTCTGAATTCACCTTGTTAATTAAAAATAAAATTAAATCAAAGCAGAGGGAAAACAATTTCTAAAAGCAGAAGCAAGATGAAACAATGAGCCTCTGTCTCTCAAGGTGGTGGCTTAACTATATGAGAGGTGTTATTTTACGTGACTTTAAAAACCCATTAAGTTGATTATAGATCCCTAGTAGGTTATATACTACTGAACTCCAGAAGGTCTTGATCATTTTTCTCTATTTATATGGTTAGTAAAATTATTGGTATTGTTATTTTGAAACTCTCTCTCTCAATCCAAAAGGGAGAAAAGGAGGAAAAGGGAATAAAGAACAGATGGGACAAATATAAAACGAATGACAAGATGTGTTCTCTGAACACAATGGAATGAAATTAGAAATCAGTAACAGAAGGATCTCTGGATGATCTGCAAAATATCTGAAAGCTAAGTAACATATTTCTAATAACTCATAAGTCAAAGAAGAAATCAAAAGGCAAATTAGAAAGGATTTTGAAATGATATTGTAATAACTATGTACAGTGCCAGGTAAGTATTAGACTTATTGGGGAGAATCACTTCGTAAATTGTATAAATGTCTAACTACTATGCTGTAAACCTGAAACTTATATAAAATAATACTGAATGTCAAAAATGTGATTTAAAAAAATTTTTAAAGAAAAAAAGAAAGAATACGTATAATAAGATTGGCAAGTGATTGTTTTTAAGCTGGGCATATGATGGCTCATACTTTTGTGTACATTTGAAAACTTTAAAAAGTTAAAACAATGCTGCTATGTCAGAAATAACACAAGATTATCTCCTTTTTAAATCTATGAACAGCATATCCATTCTTCCTCAATTTAAACACTACGAGATGCATCTATCACAATTAACTGCACATATTCCTTGCTCCCAAGCTACAGAAAATTGCCTTGCCCCTCTATTATTTGAAAAGGCTTAGCTAGGAAACTTCAGAAAGAAAACAAAGATTCCTATGTCCTGAAAAAAAAAAAACAAAGACATTTGAGGAAACAGAGAATAAACATCTACTCACCTTGGACTCTGCATCTGAATCTGTAACAGCCATTTTTTCCTCCTCTGGCCTCTACTCTCAGGAAAAGAAAATGGAATTATGAGATACTAGGCCTTTCTTAGGGTATATCCTAAATTAGAACACATCCTCTTCTTCTCCCCAAATCTTCCACCAATCTACCCCTCAGTTAACAGAAGGAGGTCAGAAGGAGACTAGAACAGTTCTGCACTTTCTGTATCCAAAAGTACCAAGATCACAGCTGTCTTGGGCTAGAATTTATTTCTGTATTCAGAGTTATCTACTGGAGACAGAGCCCTGCAGTGGAGTGCTGTAGGTTCTGAAGTGTGTGGTTTGCTTCCTTTAGCACATTCTCTGAAAGAACGCCTACTCCCAGAACCCTATTACATTTACAAGTGGCCTGTCTTTAAGGTGCTATCAGCTCTAAAATTCTGATCTCAAGACCAGGTCTGTGTCTTAGAAATAATGCATGTATTCTTCATTCATTGGCTCAAATTTCTGACTTCCTTCCTGTCACTTCTTGCATCCAATACGCTTAAGGCTATAAGGTGAGAGGGCACCAGAAAGCATCAGGGAACCTACAAATACAATCCCAGGGTGAAACTAAGGATGAATACAGAAAAAAAAGCAATCAACACAGGCCATGTGTGTATGGGGGAAGGGAGAAGGGTAGTCTTTGTGGTTAGAAGAGAAAGAAGTCGAGTCTTCAAGGGAGGACAAAGCCACATGGGACTCATGATCCACAGGCAGGCTCAGCCCCAGAATGAACCGCATAAATACCAAAACACAGTTTTACCTCTGTACCCATTAAACCCCCATATGGACACAGACTATAAAATATACAACTGATGTTACAAAGTCACACAATCATATTTCTACAATCACACAGAGTCACAAATATCACGTTAATGCTACACTGTCACACCATCTAGTCTTAAACAAAATCCAGTCATACACAGAGCATACACAGAACCCCACTCAAACGCTTCCAAGCAACCTGTCAGGGACACACATGGCCAAAAATACCCTTTCGCAGTAGCATTTTTACTCTCTTCAGTCATGGAAATGGCACACACACACAGCCCCATATACAGGACACACACAGTCATCCAATCAGATAGTCAGAAAAACAAAATCAAGTACCAGGTCAAGAAAACAAGGTCACAAACATGTCACAGCAACGCTCATAACCCCTCAAAGTCACGGGCAAACTCCAGTAATACACTCTATACACAGTCACATATACAACCTCAAAGTGACACAAGAACATCTAAACACCCTGTCACAACAGCACCGTCGCATGCTTCACAAACACAAGCAACTCCAGTTATACACGCGGTACAATCACAAAAGCACATTCCCAGTCAGGTAAGCACGCGACACAAACACACTGTCACAGCAGTTTTATCTACACCTCAGAGTCACAAACAACTCACACTCACACTCACGCTTAAACACAAAACCACAGTAACACACGCTCATTCACCAAGAGTCACCAACACTAGTCAGACTTGACCCATAACACAAATCCGTAGGCGACACGGCTACACCAGCGATTCCAGCGACGCTTTATCCGAACATTTCCGCCCACCTCAACAGACGGTACACCTCAAGGTCCAGAGCCTGGCGCCCGAGCTTCAGGCCGATTTCGGGTACGCGGGCTCAACCGGAGCCGGCCCAAGCCTCTCCACAGACACAGCTCTCTCCCCACGCGAGTTCCCCAAATCTCGCGAACCAACGGAAATGAAGCCGCGTTAGGAACCGGTGGCTCTGGGAAACGTAGTCCAACATTTCCTCCGGGAAGGCTGTGGTGGGCGGACCAAGGCCCAAGGGCCGACCGGGAGATTTTTGGGAGTGGCCACCGGCGCCCAGAGCGCAGGCGTCGGGAGTGCGCTGCTGGGGCGGATAGGGCCCGAAACCTGCAGTGTGGGTGGTACCGGGCCCTATCGGATCAGGAGAGGGTGGGACTGGCCGGCAGGGCAGGTGTAGGGGAGGAGCTGGAGCTGGGCGGGGACCGAGCCTCTGACAGGCGTGAGATCCTTTGTGTACCTTGCAGGACCTTTGGTGATTTTGAGTGTCTGTGAGACACGCGAAATGTCCGATGGACTGAGTCCCTCGGTGGCCGGTGTATGGTTTTATTTTTGCCTGTGTGTGTGATTGGTTCTACGTGCTGTTGGGTGTGAGGTGGTCTGTACTTGAAGCCGCATAGTAATGGCATTTTTGTAACTATGTAGGATTGTCTGACAGAGTAAGGACCTCCGCTGTGTGTGTGTGTGTGTGTGTGTGTGTGTGTGTGTGTGTGTGTGTGTGTCCATAATTGAGTGTGGTTGCGTGACTGGTGATTTGTTTATATAAATGTGCTTTATTCGTGCCGGTATTTCAGACTGTCTGTAGGAGTTCGACTAGCAAAAGAGCACGTGTGACTATAAAAAAAACGGCCGATGGTCAAGTTATTTATTCCTTGAACACTAATTTGATGATCTGAAAAAGGTTATCAGTTTACCTGGCAAATAAATGATTTTCCTATTGGAACTAATCCATGTGTTATGAGGAAGAATGCAAAATCATATATATATTTTAAAGATGATTTCAAAGCTAGTCCTAGGGTAACTGCTTTTTTTCTCTGCCACAATCCCCCGAAGTAGGCATCCATTCTTTTTGCTATTAGGGAAACATTATTGGGTAAGATTGAGAGGTCATCGACTAATAAAATAAGTTTATACGTAAGAAGAGTGAATTTTAGCAGAGGTCATCATTAGTCAGTTTTCCTGACCCTCCACCTAGCCAAGGTATTAATGCTAATTGCATTCCCTATGTCGTGCTCCCCATCCCCGTGACCATCCATCAGCTACTAATTTGTACTTCTTTAACTCTTCACCCCATTCTCCAAGCCCCCCAAACCCCCCTCCCCTCTGTCCATCACCAAATTGTCCACTATATTTGTCACAGATTAGTTTGTTCTTTTTATTCCTTAAATTCTGCATATAAGTGAAATCACATAGCGTTTATCTTTCCCTGTCTGACTTAAATACCTTCTAGGTTCATCACAGCAATATCTTTTTCTATTCCCTTCCTTTTCATATGTAGGGGTCTTGTTTTCTTTCAGCCACTCTATCTTTTGGTTGGAGCACTTAATTTTTTTCCATTTAAGGCACTTATTGATAGGAATGTAGTTGTTACCATTCTTTATTCGTGTTTTTGATACCTGTTTTTTCTTCTTAAAGAAGTCCCTCCAACATTTCCTGTAATTCTGGCTTGATGCTGATAAATTCCTTTAGTTTATTTTTGTCTGGAAGCTCTTTATCTGTCCTTCATCTCTAAATGATAGCTTTGCTGGATAAATTATTCTTGATTGTATATCCTGGGTCTTTATTCTTTTGAAAAATTTTTTGCCAAGCCCTCTGTCCTGCATAGTCACTCTTGAGAAATCAGCTGCCAGTCGTATGGGTGTTCCTTTATATGTAATTATTTGTTTTTCTCTTGCTGATTTTAATATTGTTTCTTTGTATTTAACCTTTGGCATTCTAATTATGATGTGTCTTGGTCTGGGCCTCTTTAGATCCCTGAATTTTGGAATCTTCTGAGCTTCCTGGGGTTTTATGTCCATTTCCTTCACCAGGTTAGGGAAGTTTTCCATCATTATTTCTTCAAACAGCTGTTCAACATCTTAATTTTCCTCACTTACGCTGATCAGATGAATATTTGGAGCCTTAGTAGTGTCCCATATCCTGCTTAAATCATCATTATAGTCTTGACCTCTTTTTTCTTGCCATTCTGTTTGAGTGTCCTGATTGGCTTTCCTATCTTCTAGATAGGGCATGTGATCCTCTTTTTTATTCACTTTGTTTATTCCTTTGTTTATTCCATTTAATATGCTTCTCATCTCAGATAATGTGTTCTCCATTTCAGACTGGTTCCCTCTTATAATCTATATCTCCATTTTTATCTCTTTGTTGGAGTCCTCTACTTTTCTCAAAAGTTCATTGAGCCTCTTTATAACCAGTGTTTTGAACTCTGCATCTGTTAGATTACTTGACTCCATTATATCTGGATCTCTGTTCTGTTCTGTCATATGGTTTCTGCTTCTTTGTCTTCCCATTTTGGCTGTCTTTCCGTGTTTGTTTCTATCTACTAAGCAAAGATCCTAAGTCTCCCGGTCTTATTAGTGCAGATTTGTGATGTAGGTGTCCAGTGGCACAGTCCTGAGAGAAGTTCAGCTGCAGGCCAAGTTTAGCCCCAGCCTGTCCCCTTCCAGGGCCACCTGTTAAGATTCAGCAAGCAATCCACAGATGCTGTGCTTATAGTTGCCTCAAAAGGCCACATCAGAAAGCAAGGTCAGCTGCCTCCACCAGTGTGAGTCTCAGCAAGGAGCACCTGACTCGCTGAGGATACACCTGGATGTGGCTTTCGTGGGGCCGCGAGTTTGGGGAAGTGGGGTGTCAGGAATCCTCTGGGTGGAGCAACCCCTATTATCCAGTTTGATGACGCCATGGCTATGGCAGAGCTGTGTCCAGTGCACTGGTATGGGGGAGGGCTCAACAGGGAACAATGGATACCTCCAGCACTTCTGTACCAAGTGAGCCTTGCTTATGGCCCTCACTCCAACAACTCAGTGTTCCCCTGTAGTCCCTGGTCCCCCCTGGAGCAGCCAGCCCAGTGCTAGTGCTCAGAGCGAGCAGGTCCGGCACCATGAAAATCTACTCGCTGATGCAGCCCCTTTAAGACTTTAGGAGGCATCTGCCCCTGCCACTGCCACAGCCTCCATCTCACTCAGCCGCTCAGGACTGGGATGTCCTGCATTTTCACCCCATCCTATCTTCTGCCATTGCAGAGTGCTGTCTTGGACTTCTCCCTAGTTGTATGGCTTGTTCATCTAGAACCCAGATGATTTTTCTTTGCTGCTGCTCTTGTTTCCATCACAACCTTCATTTGGTCTCCAGAGGGATGAACAGAGCCTCTATCGTCTACGCCATTTTGAAGCGCTCTCAATTTAGACCTCTTTTCAATAGCTTCAGGTGGAAAAACTGACAAAGCTGACTAGCTCAAGGTCACAGAGGCAGTTGGTGGCAGAGTCAAGATCAGAGGCGATAAGACTGAAAAAAGGAATAGGGCAATAGCAAAGCACCTGTACAGGGGCTCCAAGGTTGGGCACAGTTTTCCTAGGACACTTACCCAGAAAAACCATAAAATAGACAGAGATTACCTTAGTTCTATGGTTCTCTGCATTCAGCCCCTCATATAGAGATTTGTTGGAGAATATTTCACTAAAGATCCACAATTCAGTTACATCTTTTAGTAACCTCTTAGACTGACTCAAGGAGACCTCCACATCTATGGTTATATTTTCTTTATCCGAAGTGGTGGCACAGCTCACTGAATGCCATTCCTCTACATGCTGAACTGGATCGCTCCCACAAGCATGCTCCTGACTCTGGGTGCACACAATGTACACCTGAAACGAGAGCCATTCCCACAACTCAATGAGGAAAGCAAACCGCCAGAGTCACCAACTCTCTCTTAGGTTCCCAGAGACCCATCGTGATGCACATGCATAAGACAGAGCACTCACTACAGCTTCTTTAGCAAAACATCTATCGTAGGACACTTCGGTTGCTTTCATGTCCTGGCCACCGTGAATAATGCTGCTATGAACATCAGTGTGCAAATATCTTTTCAGATATGGGTTTTCAAGCCTTTGGGGTAAATACTCAGTAGAGAGATTGCTGGATCATATGGTAGATCAAGTCTTAGTTTTTTGAGGACTCTCCATACTGTTTTCCATAGTGGCTGTACCAATTTGCAGTCCCACCAGCAGTGTATGAGGATTCTTTTTTCTCCGCATCCTCTCCAGCATTTGTTATTACTTGTCTTTTCGATAATAGCTATTCTAACGGGTGTGAGATGGTATCTCATTGTGGTTTTGATTTGCATATCCCTAATGGCGATATTGAGCATCTTTTCATATATTTGTTGGCCATTCGTATGTCCTCTAGGGAGACAGCTCTTTTTCTATTTCCTTTGTTTTTTATTCAAACCTTATTATTCCCGTGCTTTTACTTTCCTTTGGTTTATTCTGCCATTTTTCCCTCACATTTTAAGTTGGATACTTAGATAATTAACTTTTATACTTATAAATTCTTAAGTTTGTAACTTTTACTGTATGTACTGCTTTGGCTGCATGCTTCATATTTTGACATGTAGTAGTCTCATCATTGTTTTAAATACTACTTTTAAATTTCTGCTGTGATTTCTTTTACCCATAAATAATTTAGAAAGCTATTTCTTAAACATATAGATTTTTTCCTAATTATTCTTTGATGATATATCTAACACAACAGCTTTCGTGGGCTGTGAAGATGGTCTCTATAAAATTAGTCCATTGACATTTTTTCAGATTTGCTTTATGGCCCAATATTTGTTTAATTTTTCTGAATATTCAGTGGGTCTTTAAATAATTTGTGTTCTGCAGTTATTATATACAGTATTTTAAAAATATATGTCCACTAGGTGTAGAGCCAGAGGAGAGAAAGAGAAATCAGAGGAATCATTTCACAAACTGTGTAAATGTCTAACCAATGTACTGTATCCTTGAAACTAATAATAAAATTTAAAGATATATATGTCCATTAGATAAGGTTTGTAATTTTTTGTCAAATCTATAATCTTAGTGATTGCTGTCTCATCTATCAATTAATAAATACGTAAATCTCCCACTATGGATGTAATATTATTTTTCTTGTAGTTTCACTAATTTTGGTTTATTTATGTATATTTTTAGTAATACGTAATTTTAGAATTT